TATGTAGGTATATTGTAATGCTACAAAAATAAAGGAAATGAGGTCAATGATTGTAACAACAGAAAACCTCAGGAGAAAATATATATCAGTTTGAGATTGGAAGAGTTTGTTCATTGCTTATTTAACATTTTGTCCGGGTAACAATGGTCTTCCTGGACATCACCCTGGAATGAGCTTGGCCTGACAAAAAATATCCGCCTAACAGAGGTTTACCCTCGAAAAAACGAGGCCTAGGCTTCACAGAGGCTGAAATCGACACATGGGCAAAAAATTAAATGAATAAGCTACTCGAGAGTCTCAGCAAAGCAACAGAAAGATATTTAGGCCTGGTTTATCTACTGTCATGAGACCATGTTTTTACGGGGTAAATAATCTAATCAGACACTTTTTCTTGACGTAAATATAAGGTCACTGTACACTTTTTTAAACACTTTAATGTCGTCATTTCTACAACAATACCGACGGTGGCCTAGCGATTAGCCAACGCCTACTAATAGATATCACAACAAGGAAACAATATTTATATTCAGAATGCAGCCAGATGATTCAACAAATATTGAATCTTCTTCCTTCCACATAATGATGCGCCACGCTTCCGACTTCCATTCAAATTATGGTGATGTTCTATGATTTATTATCGGCTGACCAGTTACAATCAATGTCACACTGGAATAATGACAGATCTACGATGAGCAAAAAAAAGAAAAAAGGAGCACCAGCAAGGGGGGGGGGCAGGGGGACATAGTAATGCGTGGTTGAACTGAACAACGACTCGTGAGCACCAGCCAAATTAAGCCTACATATCGATGTTTCCTTTATTGGACTTATGGAGTCTTACTTAGGTACAACGCACTGTTGAACCCACCGAAATGGGAAGAAAAGGTCAGGTTATTAAGTAGTGAACAATAATCTATGGTACGGTATCGAAAAGTTGAAGAAGGGACGAGAGACTTCCTCTGACCAGAGAAGTCTTCCAGGGCGTGCCAAGCTGTTTCAAAACGGTCTTTTGCATGATATAGGGGCACATAGGGAAAGACAGGATCAGGAGCCCCTAGTTCGAATCTTCGTGGCGTCAAACTTTTGAATTCGACATGGTTCTGTGGTTCCTCGCATGTGCCCCAATATCATGCAAAAGACCGTTTTGAAAAAGCTAGGCACGCCCTGAAAGACCTTCTTGGTGTGTGAAAAAATAACTATCATCGAGTCATCATCGATGTTATAGCAAAACATTGACACTGTGGCGTGACCTGTAGCGCATTTGCACGGTAAGCAAGAGGTGCTGGGTTCCACTCCCGCCTGGGGCGAAACTTTTTGCTCATTGTCCTGCAGTATTGTATAACG